TACATTTACATGTATATATAAACATATTTCTAAATTTGAAAATACTTCAAGTAATTTTTTTATGTACAATTTCGCTAAAACAAAATATTCAGATATGAAATTAAGACAATTAAGTACATGCATATGTGTATGCATGTAAATCTGCACGTCTGATATTGAAAAAAAAAATGCTGGATCGATCGTCGTGATATATTGCCTATAGTACTGTACTTAAAATAAGTTCTTGAATAAATTCATTGTTTATGGAATCATTGTTAATGAAACGTTCACAATTTCTGACTTACAATTATTTTAAGCAAACTTTGCATTGTTTTTAAAAGCAGAGATCATCAAAATAATAGCGTTATCGGCGTACGTAAACTAGTACTTTACAACGACCGCTTTCCTGGCGAAGCCTTGACTAAATGATTTTATTAAACAGAAAACAAAATTATTCTAACAGTTCATTTTAAAATCATTGTTTACTTAATTGCTTGTACCTTGACTGGCTTTGCATGTTTTACAACAGGGATAGCGTCAACCAATTAGCCGCGCTTCACTGACCACACGCACCTGTGGCGGTATTATCGAGATAATTGACACTTAAAAATGGACGTTTGTTGTGAAAACATGGTGGCGGATGGCGGTATGCGAATTTGGCGTTATAAAGAGAATTTTATATAGCAGGAAAAACGTTCTTGGGAAATCATGGCGGTATTGCGAAAATGGCGATGAATCGAATGGCGATAATTCGAGAATTGACTGTATTTTGACCTCCTTTAGAAGAAGAGCTCCATATAAAGATATACAAAAATGATAAAATTTTAAAACTAAAATGTATAAAAATTTTCTATGCAAAATAATTGTTGACAGTTTAAGATATCATATTTAAAAAATTGAATAAAATTTGTTGACCCCCAGCCTCCTTAATACTGAGAAGAGATTTATACTGCAGCGGAGCTTTATATGTTTTAACAGATGCTTTTCAATCTATGTGTAGATAAACATCTTAAAAATGAGGAACATTATCTTCAAAAGTACCTCTGTATTATTGTGAATGTGTTTACAGACTGGAGGCAGAGCAAATGAGAAGAATGGCTATGAAGAGACCTTACGAGTCTCGAGGAGGTCGGGAAGAGTTTTGGTCAGAGGCCAAGAGACCCGCGGTCTCTGATGCACGATTTGCCTCCAACTCCACATTCTCCTCTGATAGGTAAAAATTCCATTGAGTCCCAAGCATGTATAGTTATCAGATACATGCATGATGCTTTAAAAAGAACTGATTTGAATTATAGTTGAATGTCATAATTGTGAGTTTTAAAGCTGAAGAGTCATACACATGTGTGTATTTTGATTACCTAACTCCATGTTGTTAATTGCATGCCTTTTTTGTGGTGATGGTGATTTGTCTCCCCTACTTATCAGATTATATGATGATAGCAGAGACAATAGAATGTCTGATAGAGGTGAAACCACTACCTTTGACAGGAAAGTGGAGCGCTATGACAGACGAGAGGATAGGGTGACGGATGTCCGGGATAACCGCAGCGATCGATCGTTTGGTGAACGGAGAGAACGGGACAACTTTAACAGAGACAGTCGCCAGGATAGAAGGAGCTCCGAGAGATTTGAACGGTACGTTTTATAGCTACATTTTCAGCGCACTTTAACTGAAAACTTCATTAATAGATAGTAGAGATTCAGATCATAAGAGAACACAGTGGTATCAATGTTTGGGATAAAAATCTCCTCCAGAACAGAAAGGCCTTATTAGTCATAAGAATATATAGCATCCTCAGGTTGCTAAGATTGTTCACAAACTATGACCACTGGGGAAGAAGTTGGGTCACCACGATGGAAAATCAAAGTTTTGCATATGTGTAAATGCATAGGAAAAAAATCTCAAGAATAAAGGCATGATTAATCATATACATACTGAAGCATCCTCAGCTAATATATATTATAAATGTGTTCAAATCATGACTTGGGGGATAGGATATGACCAATGTGTGATCATGTGTTTAACTAAAGTGAGTATTGAATGTGATTTTAAAATTTCACTTCATCAGGGAAAGAGACCGAAGCAATGTTCGAGGGGATAGAAGAGAGAGTTTTCAGCGAGAGAGATCAGACAGAAGAGATGACAGAGACACTGACAGACGAGGGGCCAGAACTCCTCCTAGAGATAGCAGATCAGAGTGGAAGTCAGAAAGAGGTAAAGAAAACAAAAAGAATACTCGTGAGGTTCATTGAGATATTTTCAAATCCTGTAAACTGAAGGAATGCCAAATGAAACTAATGCTTATGAATTGCATTCCTTTTTAGAGAGACAAGGGGGGAGTGACACCAGGATGGTGGTCCGTGGTTTGAGTTCTAGTCGGGACAGCTGGCAGGGTGGGAGCAGCAGCTCTGGGATACAGGACGACAGGAGCCGATCTCGGGTGGGGATCACCCATAACCCAGGACCAGGTTTGCTTGGTAACACTTTCTATTGATGCATTTCGGTGAGAATGAAAATGAAATACTTTCAAGTCAGGCTAAAACACATGTATAGCAGAGGTTTAAATCAGTAGTTTTTCAGCTAAAGAAAAATAAGAGAATGAGATTACATGCAGTTGTTAATAATTTTTAGGTAGTGCACCAGGTACACAGAGGAGTTGGGGGAGCAGCTCAGACAGGAGTAAGGTTGAGAGCAGCTGGTCTGCCTCCAGGCAGCAGATGGACAGCAGGAGCTCGGGATCCCAGCAGCAGGACCGCTGGACCGGGGGAAGCCTGGGTCTACAGGCCGATGCCAGACAGCAGACCTTTGGCACGCAGATGGCTGGAGGGATACTGGCTGCAGGAGTACCTAACATGTTACTGACCTCTGTACCGCAGGCCGCAGGAATGGTCCTGACCAATCCATCCCTTACAAGAGGACAAGCAGAACCCAGATTTGATGCCTATAAGAGCATGCAGACTCAGTTCAGGAGATACTAAGGATTTTATTTGTTGGACTTTCTGTGCATGTGGATTTTAAGATCTTATGTGCATGATAACTTGATAAAATTCTTTTATAGTTGTTCTTTTAATTCATTGTACATTGATCATGTAGAGTAAAAATTATTTTCATTAATATCATTCATTCATCAATTTCCCCCTTTCATAATGATGATTTGAATAAAGAAAGCATTTGACTACATTTTTTTGTACATGTCATGATCTGCCTGGTACCAAGAGAGAGACAGAGATTTCTTAGTAATGGGTTGATGATTAATAAAATCACGTGCTATTGTTTTGCATGTATTTACACATTTTGATTCCAAATTATTCATTGCAAAATCTTGCAGAAGATCTCAGAAATACAGGTACTGTACTTGTTTTTAAACAAAATGTCACTGAAGATTATTAAAATGATGTCAAAAATGGAAAGTTTTCATTGGAATTATTCCTTATCCTTGAATATTGATTCACTAGTGGAAGTGTGTTTGATCTGTTTAGTTTGAAATTTGGGTGAACATCTGAGATAAGTGCCATGTTGTTTAAACATGAATGTGAAAATGAAATCTCAATTATATTAAAGTTTTCTTCAGTATTTCATCTAACATTAAAAGTATACTTTGGCCAGATGATTAATTTTAGTACAATTTGCAGCTCAAAGTATATTTTTATCATTTAGGTTGGATATGCTCAGTATGCTGAAAGCTCAACTTTAGATTTAGTTTCTACTGTTACTTTGTGTACATTCATGTTCAAATGATTTGAACTTACATATTTTGGTTTCCAAAATTAAAAAAAAAACCTTAAAAATATAATTTTATGACATAACTTTCCTGGATTGTGATTTCAAGAAATATAAAGTCCCTTATATCATTTTAACATATCACAACACATTCTTTAAATGCCACACTGCCCTCAGGACTTGTGTAGCGTAGTGGTTAGCCCAGCCCATTGAAATTTGTACATGCCCTACTCAAAATTCATTCATATAGAAGATATGATTGTGCAACAAAAAAATAAGATTAAGCGTTTTAAATTGACCATGGCCTGCCTATCTGCCATTTTCATACGCGTTTTTGTTCACAACTTTTGACTCGCATGCTGGTCATTTGTTGGCCGGTATAGCTGAACTGAATTTCAGAAATAGGATCATGACAGCAGTCCACTGCACGTGGCATCAATAAACCTATCGTAATTTAGCAAAAAACTTTGAGAAAACAAATAGGTTTAATTTAACACTTTAATGATAACGATTGACAATCATTCAATTTTAGTACAATTTCGTAAGACGAAATATATTTTACATAGCAAGTTTACGCGAATAATGGGGTACGACAGAAGAAATGGAACGTAAACATTGTGAATCGAAAGAAAATTCACACATGCCCTTCGGGCATGTAATTTGAGAATTTTCACATGCTCACTGGCAAATTTACCAGGTCCCAGGCATGGGGCTCCCAAGTTATTTCGAAGACTGTTTTAAGGCTTCTAAGAAATGTCTGAGTCATGAAAGTTGTCTCCTTGATGATGGAAGTTAGAAGTCTAGGTCAGGGATATGACTACAAATGTAAAAAAAAAAAAAAAAGAAAGAAAATTCTCGAGAAAAGGAGAGGAGGGATGCATTTAAATCAATCCAAATTCATCTAATGGGCTTTGGGACTGGGGTCATAGTTAGGGGACAATTAATAAAGTACATGCTTTCATATACAGACATGCTACTCCTGGGAAATGTATTTTTATTCTGTTCATTTGTGGTATAAGTTTCAACTTAAAGAATCTGAATACATGTATCGTATCACAATTTATTTGTTGGTTTTTTTTATTGGGGGGGATAAATTTTGTGAATGGTAAAGCTTAGATTTTAAAATCCGAATAAAACTGGTACGAGTTAATTAAAAAAGTCATCCGATCCTCGAATTCAAAATGGCGGAGATTGATGGGAAAATGTTTTACTTGACTTGTTAGCTGCATTGCATAGAGCAGGCATCAAATTTGTTTATGCATTGACTGTTTAATACCTAGAATTTTAAACTGTTATCAAGGTATCAACCATTTTGTTTTCTGGGAGGGAAATTACGCTGTTTTTTAAAACCACTCGCCATCTTGCCTGGTAAGTAGTCTAATAGACGACAGTTTCACAAGTAGAAATAGAAGTTGTAAACAATAACCGACAATGTTCATTGGTTATTACTTAAATTACTGATATAGATTATTCAGATTGATTGATTTTTCGGGTAATCATATGTAACTTTAATTTAGCAGGAAAAATGGACAAAGCAGAAGACCTCCTACTTCTTGATGTGATTGAGGTGATGTTCTTACTCTACTTTTGATTTAATAATTGTAAAAGACGATTTAGTACAAGAATACTTTTAAATGGATATATCATTACTTGGAAAACAACAAGATCAATGTTTGTTAATCTCAGCGAGATGTCGTAGGGACTAAATATTTTGGTCTGGTGTCCATGGACATCTCAGCCTAGTGTCACACAAACTGATTGGGTTTCTTGCCCCTCTTTGTCCGCTTGTTTCAATCATTATGGGCTGAAATGAAATATCTGCCAGCTTCAACTTTTTTCCGTTGGACATCCTTTTAAGCAGTCTATCCCAAAAGCACCGGTCTGTCGGACAAAACAGGTGAAAATCTTATTGGTCCGATATAGTGACTACCGGTAGTAAAATCGGTCCGTTTGTCCGAGGTTTGTTTTGGTCGGGTTTTAAGTTATATAGTTCCTATTTCATCATATAGACGCTTTAACTAATAACAAAACACATTATTAAAAACGTTTCGTTGACTGTGATTGTTTTAAAACCTACTTCCGCCACAATGTCTCTTAAATATTTCGATGGGACACTGCCAGGAAAGAAAAAGAAACATTTCAGTTAATCTTTTAATGTGTTATCTGTTTATTGATTTATATGCTATGAAGTAACATCGTCATGATCAATATATGATAAAAGTTTTGGACCGGTGAAAATTCGTTTGGTCCTGTGAAATTGTGTTAACTGTCTGTCCGAATGTCCTGTGGCGATTTTTCTTTTTCGCGAAGACTGTTTAAGTTTCTATCACTATAAAACTTTTGTTTCTCAACTTTAACATATGTAAAAGGTTTAAATTCAACAAATTATAAAGTAACTGTTGTTGATTTTTCATAGAAATATCCCATTTGTTTAAACCTCTGATGCTAAAGAATTCCAGCTATAGTTTGCTCTGAATATTTCGTTCTACTAATATTTACTAAATAGAAATGAACCATAGTATTGTTTTGCAGTTGGATCTGTTAACAGATGGTTAATTGTGAAGTGCTTTGTTATTGCAATCAGTATGGCTCTTTATAATAAGCTTGAAGGGATTTTAAAGTATGTGTGTACATTGTCAGATGGATGATGAGGAGAGTTATCGTGATTTAATCGGAGTAGAAGACGGGATGGAGAGCGATCTGATAGAGACGGAGGACGGGACAGAGAGCGAGATGGTAGAGGAAGATAGTGACGGTAGGAGATTACTTGATGATAATGGCAGGATAAAATTAAAATTTACAGCAGAATAACTGTTTATAAAGAAAGAAAGGGTAAGATGGAAATCATAGAGCTTGTACCATAGGCAAGTTTACAGCATAGTAGGAATGAAGAGTCATAAATAATTGTTTTAGAAAAGAATGAAATTTTCTTCCTTCATTTCATTTTATACTTTGATTTTTTTGGGAAAAAAGTGAGTACATTTGAAATTAAACATCAAATTCTTCTGTGAGTTCTCATCTCTAGCCAAAAGGTAAAACAAACCAATTTTGTTCAAGAAATTTTACTCTTCTTATTTTGTTACTAAAAAGGTATATCTTTTGTTAAATGATAATAAATAATAGCATAAAAGATATACACATGAAGAATTTATGAAGATTGAGTGATCAGCTCTAGAAAACTAAAATGGACTGAACAAGAAAACACAATCATTGGACTTCCTGTGAGAAGATATAGTCTGAATTTTTCATGTGAAGACAAACAAGCCTGTGTAGTTGGATTGCTAGTTTTCGGGTAACCAGAGGAAAGCACTAAACAATGGAATGATTGGACGGTATTTTTATGACCATTTGTAAAGAAGTAAGAAATTTACCATATAATGATGGAAACAGAGAAAGAAACTGAACGTCAAATATGTCAAAGCTGTAAATCCCATTTGAACTTTATCACCCTGAGAGGCCTGATGATGTAATTTGACAATAAAAGAAGGGAGGAAAACCAGCAACATAGGGAACTCAATTTCTTCAGAAGAATACTAGGACCTATACATAGAGAAAATACAAACAATTCATGTCTCACTGCTGATAGAGGAATATTTCAGGTGTGATGTACCCACGGAAAACCACTGCCAAAACTGAATTATTGTGATCATTCGACATTGAATTATTAATTTTTGAAGATGGATTTTTCATAAAATAATTTCAAGGACAAGGACCTGTAAGATTTACAGTAAATTACAGAATAAAATGGATTGTATGACTTTGTTTCACGTTTTTCCATGAAGAAGGGTCCAGAAAGATGACTGAGCCATTAATATCAGTTAAAGTGTTTTAAAATTTGACAGTTTAAATGCTACCGAAAGAAGATAGGAGAAGTATTGAGTGTAATCCTTCTGAAGAACATTACAATAACACACATCAGACCTAAATACCAGTTTGCATGCAGTATTAATGATTTGTCAATTTGAGAAAGAAAATGTGGAAAGTGGTAAAAAAGATGAAGATGCCATAATAGGCAGACCAGTCCTCAAGCTTGAAATATTCAGTTGCGAACACAGACATCATGACATAATCATTTAACAAGGATTCTATGGAGGAAGTAAAAATACTCCCAGAAGAGAAAAGACGAGGGAGATTCACAGAATACATTATGATATAGGAACATTGATTACTCCAAGTATTGAATATATATACATTTGTGCATTTCTACTGTCCAATGATGATTTCAGCCTGGAACTTGAAAGATTTGATAAAAAAGAACTATTTTTTCAGTCTCCAATTTAGCATTCAATTATTCAACCTGAAATGACAAGTATCCATAGAATGAAGAAAAAAAACTTTCCAGAGGAAAACATGAAACCCAAGAATTGATCTGTTTAATTCAATTTGGAGCAATAAATTATCAATTCTAAACTTTTGTATATGTTTCTTACAGCTATTCTTTCTTCACATATCTGCCTTCTGCCTGTCCTTCTACTTAATTTTCTTCAGTACATAGTTTTATTGGCTTAAGCTCATGGAATGTCAATTTATTGGGTGAAATAAGTCAAATATTACATTAATGCATACTTCTGTTTTGGACAACAGTGACCCAGGAATCACGAGATGACATCAGTGAATCTTTGGATGTGTATGTGGATGATACGCAGAACGACCTAGATGCAGATATCAAGGACAGCAAGAAAACTGTTAGTAGTAGCAGTGATAGCAATAAGTCCAGCCACAAAGATGAGAAGTCCAAGCAGAAGTCCAGCGGTTCCAGTGGGCAAAAGTCCAGCAGCTCTAGTGCGCAAAAGTCCAGCAGTACAAGCAAGGACAAATCTGGAAGCTTCAGTAGACAAAATTCTGATGGACAAAAATCCAGGGAGAGAATAAGCAGCACCAACAGAATAAAATCCGAAATCACTAGTATTCACAAAGCTAGCAGCAGCAGACGAAAATGTGGAAGTGATGACCAAAAGGCTGAAGGTAGCAGTAAGCAGAGATCCAGAGTACTTGGGCAGAAAATAAATGGTAGCAAAATACAGAAGTCCAGTGGTAGTGGGCAGAAACCAAGCAGTAGTGGGCAGAAGTCAAGTAGTAGTAGGCAGAAGTCAAGCAGTAGTGAGCAGAAGTCAAACAGTAGTGGGCAGAAGTCAAGCAGTAGTGACAGTAGACAGAAATCTAGCAGTGGTAGCAGTATGCAAAAGTCTGGAAGTAGTAACAAATCAGGAACTGGCAGTACACAGAAAGGTAGCAGTAGTGGACAGGCATCTAGCAGTGTAAGCAGCAGGCAGAAATCTAGCAGTGGGCAGAAGTCTAGCAGTGGGCAGAAGTCTAACAGTGGGCAGAAATCTAACAGTGGGCAGAAGACTAGCAGTGGGCAGAAGTCTAACAGTGGGCAGAAGCAAAGTAGCAGTCATCAAAAGGAGGAGAAAGACGGGAAGACAGACAACCAAGTTTCCAGTAAAAGGTTGGGTTTGTCAAGATCAGTTTAGATTTCTCATTTTACTTAAACTTAATTGAAGTGTTCCAATAATTCAAAACGATGATCATGTTAAGAAAAATTTGCTATGTAGAATATAGGATTGTAGGTAAAGTTTACATTGTAATCTATATTCATTGTACATTTGTATTTAATCGACAAATGCAGAAAAATGGGAAGTCACATTTCAGTAGTGTTTGGTGAAGTGACATAAGAAAAATATTAATTTATTTAAAGCGTAAAGATGTGACATCTCTTTATTGAACCCTTTGTCTTTGATAATCGGAGTAGGTGTGAACTCTGGGCTAAGTATATACGGAATGTAAGATATATACTTGTAATAAATAATCACCATCTTGAAGAAAGAGCCTGACATTGGATAGACAACAAAGGTCAAAGTGAAAATTGTGTACAAGAAATCTTCAATAGCCTTTTAGTTTGCAATGACAAGTTACAAACTTTGGAGTGCCTTCAGATGACGTTGTTCAGTTCATTCTACACTTCACTCCAACAAGTTCTAGACTAGTAATATTCTCTGCAAGCACCGGTTGAACATCTACCTTAAAGCCGGATTGATTGGTGTAAAGAAACAGAAAATAGATATAAAGAAAAAGAGAAGTATACTGAAAAAATTGATGGACTTAACCAAAAAAAAAAAAAGGATGGACTGATTTGCAAGACATCAGATGTAAGAAATTTGGGCTTTTTCTAGAAAAAGGTTTTGGGTATTTAAAGAAATGTCCTGTATAGAAGGGGAAAGTGTGCTTTGTAGTTGGTAATTTGCTGTATGAGAAAAAGAGAAATCAACTAAACAAGAAGCAAAAATTCAAGAAATGCAGGCTTGTTGACGTATAGAAGGAAGATTGTCAAGACTATAAATGGCAGAAAAGGTTTTTACAGGGTGATGACTCGCATAAGGTAAAGGCAGGATTACTGGGCAGATTTGCCATTTCCTTATTCCAGTTAAATTCAAGTCAGAGTCAGATAATGATTCATGATAATGATTCATTTACAAGAAAATGCAGGTTTACTGGGTAATGATATCCTCTGCAGGAAAAAGCAGGATTACTGGGTAGAATTGTAACTTCCTTCTAGTTCAATTCAAAGGATGGAGTGAGATATTAGAAATTACATTACATCATACCTAAGGTTCTTTGCTTTCAGTCATCCAGAGTGTACTTATTTCAGCTTTTTAAGTTTGTTGTAGCAATGGGACAGAAAGACTTTCTAAGTCATGGGGGCTTCATTCATTTTCCCCATGGATAGAATACCAGTCAATTGTATGTAATTTCAAGCATTAGTAGTCACCATTTTAAGCTGGTTGGACTGAGACAATGCAGAGAAAGTAAGTTGAGCACAGACGCAAAACAACCTCATCACTTCCTAGAAAGGATTTGAAGCATTTTTCATTAGTTGCCAAACATCTATGACCACTGAATCATTGATGCCACATCTGTAGGAATTGCTACAAATGGAAAAATAGATGGAATGAAAAATCAGTCAAGTGCTGTATCTGGACTTTGATTCAATTTCAGGTCAGTTTAGTCTTATGATGTGTAGAAAACCCAGACAGCCATAAACAGCAAGGTACTTTAGTTGTAAACAGATTATTTAGATAATGATTATCATCCATTTACAATCATTATAATACAGAACCTAGCTTCACTCTTTACCAGAGAAGTTGATTATAGCCTGTAATGTGGAGATTACCTTCTTTGTCTATGCAGAAGGGACCAGTATTATTCACCTGCTTAAATTATGAAGTGTATGTCTTATAGCTTTGATGTAGAGATGATTATTTTTTCATCAGTGTATGGTATGAAGCAGTTCTTATCATCAACAATCCCAGAAAAATCATCCTTATTCACCAAACCTATTGTGTGGAGGTTATCCTTAATTAGTACCAAATGATGTAGAAAGGATCCTTATTCACCAACCTATGACAAAGAGATGATCCTCTTCAACCAAACAATGATGTGGAAGTAATCTTAAGTGACCAGGTTATAATGTAGACATGATTCTTCTCAGCCAGTTTATGATTTGGAAGAAATCTTTATCAACAAGACCATAATGTAGAGGTGATCTTTACTCAAAAAAAAAATTGTTTGATATAGAAATGATCCTTACTAGTCTTTTGTGTAGAGTTGATTGTAATCACCAGCCTGTAATGTAGGGATGATCCTAAATCACCGAGATGATTTGAAAGCAATCCTTCTCAACCAGCCTATAAGGAAGTGATCTTTATTAATATTCCATAATAAAGAGATGATCCTAACTCACAAACCTATCTTGTAGAGGTGATCCTCATAAACCAACCCCTATTGTAAAGGTGATCCTTATCATTCAGCCACTGATGTAGAAGTGATCCTTAGTCAACCACTTATGATGTAGAGATGACACTTATCATGACGTGTAAGTGATTCTTAATCAACAAGCTGTAATGTAGGATGATCCTTATCAACCAGTCTTTGATGTTGAGATGATCCTTAATCAACAACGTATAATATAGACTGAAGTGATCCTTATCAACCAGTCATTGATGATCAGAGGATCCTTAATTAAAAACCAATGATAAGAGATGATCCTCATTAACCAAATTATGGTGTAGAAGTGATTCTTAGTAACAATATATGATGTAGAGGTGATCCTTAATTAACAACCTATGATGTAGGATAATTCTTATCAACCAATCCATTGATATGAAAATGATCCTTATTAACCAGCTTTTGATGTGGAAGTGATCCTTAACAACTTATGATGTAGGATGATCCTTATCAACCAGCCTATGATGTTTAGATAATCCTGATCAACCAGCTTATGATGTTTAAATAATCCTTATCAACCAGCCTATGATGTTTAGATAATCCTGATCAACCAGCTTATGATGTTTAAATAATCCTTATCAACCAGCCTATGATGTTTAGATAATCCTGATCAACTAGCCTATGATATTTAAATAATCCTTATCAACCAGCCTATGATGTGGAGATGATCCTTAGCAACCAACCTATGTTGTGGAGATGAATCTTATCGGCCAGCCTATGCTGTGGAGATGATCCTGATCAACCAGCCTATGATGTTTAGATAATCCTGATCAACCAGCCTATGATGTTTAGATAATCTTGATCAACCAGCCTATGATATTTAGATAATCCTTATCAACCAGCCTATAATGTGGAGATGATCCTTCACCACTGCATGTCATGCAAATGATCCTTATCAATAAGCCTGTGAGGAACAGCTAAACCTATGATATAGGAGTTGTTTATTTTCATTATTCTCTATTATGAAAGTGATCCTCATTCACCAGCCTATGCCTGCAATGATACAAATTCACCATCTCAAGACATAGAGATAATTATTACCCTTCATTATGTTAATGCGAGATAATATTTTTTGGCCAATGTTTGCTTTTCCCACTTCTATCATTTTATGTAGAGGAGATCCAGTCCAACACAAACATTGTACCTTGGCTACTGATTTATTTAAATTTTATAATCTTTAATCTGTGTAGAGAAAACTTGATAAGTGTAATGAACATGTGGGAAATGGTGCAGTTTCAGATGAATTTGAAAAGGCATATCTCAACACAAAATTGCAAAGAAGTATGGCTAAGAATGAAAACATTTTCATAATAATGTATATTTAGCTGCTGTTAAAAAGGAAGATGGGAAAATCTCTGCATTGATATTTTAAGTTAACCATAGCTGCATTGGAGGAGGATACTCAAAGCTTTGAAATCATATGCTAAGAGATTATTGAGGGAATCCCTTGTAGGAGTATTTGTGACTTGCTGCTTCTGAAGTGATCTGAACTTATCACAGTTTCAAAAGGAGGATACAATAAGATGTTTGCTTGGTTGTTGATTGTACTTGTTATGTCTTTTTCAGTTTCCTGAGGCTATAAAATGTTAAGGGAATTTTTCTTTATTCCAGTAGATTTGCCAAGAATAATTGATTTTAATAAGTTCCCTAATGTGGTCAGTAAACGTCTTACACAAAGAATTTACTGAGATGGAAAGGATTAGGCCATTTAGCTAGCGTTTGGTAAAATTTGACACATTTGGATGATAAATCCTATATGTAGAGATGTAATACACAAAAGTATTCAAGCCGTCACGCCTATTTATTGTGGATTGATGTAGGTGACACTCTGCAGAGTCAGGCAGTGATTGAACAGGCCAGGCTTCTAATTACCTTCAGAAGTTAACCTTAAAGCTGATGAAAAAAATAGATTCTTTACAAAATCTGAAATGAAAGGAGAATGACTTTAGGTGAAAGATCCCTTTGGAAGCTCGCAACATATGGAAGAAACATGTAGCAAGATCTGTTTGTCAATAAACCACATTGTGCTGCAGGTGATGAAAATTTGATTCAGATTATAACTTGCCCTCTTGAAGTTGAGATATATTCCAACTGATCAATTAGATACTTATTTTATTGAATCTATCTTAAAGCAGGATATTAAATGAGTAATACCGGTATGTTTGTAGCCAGTTAAATAATCTGTTGTTACCCATATTTTTCAGTTCCACATCGAAGGATTCAAAAAAGGCTGTTCCGGGTAATGATTTTATTTTTATATTAGAAAATTTTTAAAATAGTTTATAATGAGCAGAAATTTTATCCTTTTAAAAAAAGATATCCTTAGATATTGACTCCACCCAGATAATTTATTATATTTTTCCTATAGCTCCTTCATGTAATCTATGGGTCAGTGGAATTGCTTCATCTACGAGGGCCAATGATCTAAAAGCGCTGTTCAGCAAACATGTTAAGGTAATGTTGTTTTCTTAAATTTTTAGATTAAAGACCTTTTTTTAAATCTTTATCTAAACGATAAGAGTTTTAAATATCTGTGATAGTAATACTAGTATGAGTATCCATTGCAGAAAGAAATCTGAAAATTTTTATCTGAGAAAGGTGGTAAAATGAAGATATTTTTATAGTCTGTTTTATTTTATATAATTATATAATGTCTAACAGAAAAATAAATATTTGTTTCAAGTAAGCAGACCTGGTATAAGAATAGCCTTAGGCCTACTATTTTTTTTTTTAATTTCAAAAAAAAAAATTAACAAATATTTCTGAAGCTAGAGAAAATATAAATCGATTTATAGTTCCCCCCTAAATCTGAATAATTTTTTATAAGATAAATTTATAATTATAAAATGCCTTGATAAAAAAACTTTTTATTATGGAACTATTTGGATACATTTGCTAAGAAAAAGTGGTTACTACAACACGGAACTGATTTATTGTGTTGCATTTCTTTGTGTGTGTTTTAAAAACTTAAACTTAATAATGTCTTATGTACAGATACTTCAAAAAATGTTGGTGAAGTTTTATTTTTCTAGTATCCAAAATGGACATGGGGGCTATCTCATCATACCCTATTATAAAGAGACCAGAATTTTTTAACAATATGGATAACATGAAGGACGTTGTTTAAAAGCTTCGTTATAAATTAGGTTGTGGCAGCTAAAATAATGACCAATGCCAAAAGTCCAGACAGCAGCTGTTTTGGTTACATTATTCTATCATCTATTGGGGACGCCAAGACCTGTATCCAGAGTCTGCACAAGACAGAACTGAATGGCAGCACGATCAGTGTAACGTTTGATAAGGTAGGAAAACAGTCTATACAATAGACAATTTAACAAATTATGACGTTCTGAAATATATTGTATCATATATACATGTATTAGCTCAGTTTCTATCATTTTCTGTACTCTTTCACATAAAACTTATGCTAAATGTGTTGTTATAACCACATATCCACATACTGTATATGAAACTTCCAAGAATGTTAAGGAATCACTGTTAGTTTGTTTGGTATGCCAGGGCATCAACAATAGTTTGAATCATGGGAATATTTGCTTCGCCTGTTATGCATAAGTTAACCCATGTTTCCAACTATTGTTGATGTCCCTGACATACCAAACAAACTGTTTACCGGTAGACAGTGATTCCTTATATTTACCAGTACATTTTATTGTGAAATAAAACTGAAATTTAGATAATCCCCGCCCACTGATGTCAAACATGAAGACAGATGCACAATATCTATATGCATATTAGGCCTCCTTAGGCCCTGACCTTTCACTTGACAAAATTTACATTCCAGTTGAATTATCAAGAAACCAGTTCACCCCACTCTTAAAGAGCTATCACAGAGAAAACAAATAGAGGTGGAAATATTGACAAATATTTGCAAAATTTGACACTGAGCAGCTACCGGTAGTTGAGCAGTTCAAGGAGTTTTATATTTAGCATCTTAGGGGTTTTTTCTTAGCCCTCTGATCTTAAACACATCATGTATGAATAAAGTTTAAGTATTAACTTAATTTTACTTCAGCCAAAGCCAGAATCAGCCCCAGCTGATAAAAGTGTAGAATCCAAGTCACCAAGCAAGAAAGAACCTGCTGACAAATGTAAGAGTTTCTACAGCTTTGTTAAGGGGGGTTTATACACAGAATTATTATTTACAGTGTGCATACCATATTGATAAAAACTCAGTATGTTGATTAGATATAAACATATTTTAATAAGGAAGAAATATTTTTTAGCCAAAGAAACTTCTGGTAAGTCTGTACCAAAGCCAACCAGCAGTAAGACTAAACTAAGCAAACCAGGTTCTGTAGCAAAGTCAAAGGTCAGTGATGTCAAAGGTCAGACCAAGCCAGCTAAGAAGGGCAGCAGTGAAGTAGACAAAAAGTCAAGTGAGACTGAGAAATCCAAAACAACAAACAAATCGAAGGACACCAAGAGTAAAGCATCGGAGGGGAAAAAGATGATTTCCACAGGTTTGTACAATGAATTAGCATTGTGCACATGTTTAAATAGAAAGATTTAATAATTAGATTAACAAAATTTCCTTTCTTATAAAACAGTGACCATAAAGATGTAAGCTAAGTGGTAAATTGTTTTTGTAGAGAAAAAATCAACTGGAGAAAAGAAAAATGATGTTAAACGTTCTAACATCATCTCTCTTAAAAGCAAAGGTAATGAAAAGAAATACAAGTCCTTAAAGGACAAAAGTCTGACCAATGATAAAGGCGAGAAGCCTCGGCGAATTATCCACCTGAACAGACCGGAGACGAACAGACGTGGGTGGCAGTCGGGCTGGATGAGGAATCACAGAATCGGCTACTTTAAATCCCGCAATGTCATGTCCTACTCCTCCGATCAGGTATATAGCTCTGAACTTTAAAAATATCGCTATATGGTTCATCAAAATTTAAACAGCAAAGGAAAATTGTATTTAATTAATTATTTCTATTGTAGCAACGCAGAATGTCACCTTTCCGTACCCATAATGTGGTGGACAAAAGTCGACGTCTGAAAGATCTTCACATCAAACAAAGAGAGGAGGCTTACAAATTAGAGCAAGAGCGGGAGCAGATCAGGTAAGATAACTCTTCAAATCGGTAATAAAGATCAGATACCCTCTAACAAGTAACAAGAAGGGAGCAGATCAGGTGAGATAACTCTTAAAATCAGTAACAAGGGTCACATAACAAAAGAGGGAGGGTATCAGATACCCCTCCTGTAATGTGAGGAGACTGTTTGAGTGAATGATTTTACTTTTTAAGTGAAGTGATTTAGTGTTGCTAGTGTTGAAGTTATATTATTGGGCCGATATCATGTTACAGACGAGCGACAGAGGAGATGGAGTGGAGGAAGCAGCAGGAACAGATTCGTCTGGAGCAGCTGGATCTGGAGCGACGCGAGCGAGAGTGGGAGGAACAGAGGCTGTTGGAACAGATCAGGTGAGAACAGGGGCTGCTGGAACAGATCAGGTGACAATGCTCTATTTGGAACAGGCTTTAAAGACCCCCTTTTTTTTAACCGTATGGTTACCTGAGGAGGGGGAGTGGTCGAAGTAACAATGGTGTTATTTACTTGGAGACCCCCATGTGATTACTCTCCGATTGGAACACGCTTTTAGGGGAAAGATCTGTATTCAATTGCACATGTATTGATTTTAAAATCACTAATTAAGATAAACTTGCAATACTGCTAATCAATAATTTCAGTATTATTTTTTGCAATACTTGATTTTGTGTACTCAGTGATAGTAAAGAATTTCATTTTATAATCATTTACAAGTTATTAATTTTTGCATATACCCTGTCCTACAAATTACCAAAGCACTTTTTCCTGATAAAATGTGATTAACAGTACACTGATGTGTTTTTAAAAGTGAGAGTTGTGTGAGTGTTACACTCTGTTACAGACTAGAGGAAGAGGAAAGACTGAGGTTTGAGGAAGAACAGAGGATTGCAGAGTTTGAGGAGGAACAGCGACGTCTGGCCGAGGAAGAAATCAGGATCAGGGAGGCCGAGAGGATGCAGTTTATGGAACCAGTGTAAGTTAAAGGCTTCTTAGATCTTAAACTCAATCATTGCCTTTGTTTATATTCTAGGCAGTCTGACACCCTGTCTATTCTAACATAAAAATTTACTCCAAATGCATGTCAAATTACGAAAGTTTCACTGGACAGTAGAACAGGCTGATAATGAAGTGTCAGGGACAGACAATATTGTTTCATTATAAGTGTAATTTGTTATATCCATCAATTGTACAGTATATTTTAAAGTCAAGGGGAATGAAATCACTTTGCTATAAGTGTCAATTCATTACAAGTGTGTTCATTATAAGTGTGTTTGACTGTTTTATCGAAATTACTAGGTATAATTTTAAAGAATTATTAAAAAAAAACAAAACATGATTTCTCTTTACTTTAAAGATTCAATGATCAAGACAGATTTGTGGAGAATAGATGGTCACCTCATGGTGGGGACAGATTCAGGGGCCCAGGGGATTCCCCTGATGACAGATCTAGAGGTCACCATGGAGATGACCTGAGGGGTTACAGGTCACACCATGATGAGAGAAGGCATCGAGACAGAAGAAGTGCTGAAAAGTATGAGGCAAAGAGGAAAGAAGAAAGGGAACGAGAAAAACAAAGGTGAAGATAAAGATATCATACTTGTATATTTTTATGTTTTCCATCCACGATAGGATCTAAATCTGTATTTATGGGAAAATGAGAATTATGTCTAAATGTACTGAATATTCTACTCATATGTAACTCTTCAGTATTCAATATCAATGAATCTGAGATGATTTTTATCTACTTTAAACAGGAAAGAAAAAGAGCGTCATGAAAGAGAACGAAGGGAGAGAGAGAAAAGAGAGAAAGAACGACAAGAACAGCTGGAAAGAGAAAGACAGGAGAGAGAACAGCGGGAGCGAGAACGTCGGGAACAGGAAGAGCGGGAGAGGGAGAGACTAGAGCAAGAGAGACGGGAGAGGGAGCGTCTGGAGCAGGAAAGACGAGAGAGGGAGAGACTAGAACAGGAAATGAAGGAACGAGAACGACGCGACAGAGAGAGGCTAGAGAAAGAACGACAGGAACGACTGAGACTGGAGAAGGAAAAGGAGGCCCAGGAGAAAGAGAAACTAGAGCTCGCAGAACGCGTCAAACAGCTGGAGAGAGAGAACGAAGAAATACGACATAAAGAAAACAAGATCAAGGAAGAACTGAGGTGAGTTACATATTGGTTTAAAAAGCTATGAAATTAACTCTCTCATACCACCAGTATGTTCAAACATTTTACAGGATTTCATTCTGCAGATTTTGGTGTAGATCAATAGAGTTGATAATCAGTAAATTTTTTTGATTTTTCGTGTTATTTTGTCAGACTTGAAAAGGAGGAACATGAGAGGATAAAGAGGGATTCATTAAAAAGATCTTATGAGCCTCGAGGTCACCGTGATGATTATCCAGCCCCCGTGAAGCGACAGCCTGATAATAGATACAGCTCCCAGTAAGTAACACAGGCGCGGCTATTAGTGTCCACAGCTAAATAATTATGTTGTCTTGTTTGTCTTGTAATCTGTCACAATTTTATTTAACACCATAATGAGTCTGTTTTCAAAGATAAATTTTATGTTTGCTATAATTTTGGGTCTGGGAGTTAGCAGTCAGTTGGTAAAGATTTTTCAAAGTTTGTGAATTCTTTAGTGTTGCATGATGAAATAGCATTATTTGCCATGTTATGACTTAGCTTACAATTTTTGGGTTAATAACATAAAACTATGAAAAAATGTGTCAATGCTTTCCAATTTTTTAGTGTGGGTAAAACTTACAACAACTACCAGGCTCCTGACCCCCAGAGACGAAGCTATGAGCACTCGGAGGACCACCGAGAGGTTTATCTGGAGCGCAGGGATGTCCCCTACAACAAAGACCAGGGGGACTATGATGAAAGGGAGAGGTACAATAAGTTTGTAGGAGAAAGGACCGTCACAGTGTACCGTAAATTTGACGATCAATACGACCACGGCAGAAATACTGACACTGCAGCGGCTGATGGATATGACCACACTAAACGTAACTATAATAGAGGCTCTACGGGAGGATATGACCGCACTAAAAATGACTACAACAGAAATAGTGGTACAGCAGCTTCTGGTGGGTACGACCGTACTAAGAATGACTATAACAGGGACTATGATAGACAGTACAATCTCCCTAATAACACTGATCGTAACAGAGACGCCAGAGCATCACAGTCCTCTAAAAGCCATGCCAGCTACGATCGACCAAGGAGTGACAGCAGAAATGAGGCTAGAGGTTCAAGTTATGGAAAAGGTCATGGGTCAAGTGGCAGTCACAGCTATGGAAAAGGGTTTGATTCTAGTGGCAGTCAGGGTTATGGGAAAGGTTATGATTCTGACCACAGTCACAACAGGAATAAAAGTGATGTGAAAAAGGAGTATAGTGATTACAAATCCTCAAATAAAAGACAAACATATAAAGCTCATGAGGACTCTGACAAAAACAAGGGCAGCACTGACAGAAAAACTGTTCCTAAAGGTCGGTCTACTGATGACTTGTGGAGGAATGCTGGGTACGGAAAGACAGAAGACCGAGATGGCAACAGTTATGGTGGATCATCGAGCAACAAAGGGGCAGCAGATAACTACCCAGGCAGCAATACACAGTCAACATGGTCCCAGAGGGGACGCAACTCCTCAACAGCACCAAACCCCAGAACAGGTAAAAGTCCATGTGTTGTAAAGAACAATTTTCAATGTATGTCAAGATTTTTCTAGGCCAGAAAATAATGATAAAATTTTGTACATTGAAATTTTTCTTTTCGTACATGTAGGTGGTGATTATCAACACAATCAAAATGCACCTGCCATAAAAACTGAGAAAGGCCCATCAGTGTGGGGGAGTGGAGCGGGCTACACAGGACAGAGCAGTTCACTGCCACAGACCAGAATGACTGCATCATTTGGCAGCAATGACCGGATGAACTCGGGTAATATCCAGGACTTGCCAGTACAACAACAGACGGTGATGTTCCAGGATAGCCGGCTGGGCAATCCTCCATCGAGTGTACCTTACCCAATGATGACGATACCCCACAGGAATTCTGGACCCAACATGATGCCACCCCCTAATGCTGCCATTATCCCCCAACCCCAGCCCTCACTGGGCATCATCCGCCCCCAGGATCAGAGCGTTCAGCCTGGATTTGTTAACGTGACTTATAAGTATTACACACCAGGCAGGCCATACTAAATAATGGTGTATTAAGGATACTGTGTTTTAGCAGATGTTGTGATTGTTTTGTCTTAATTTCTTGATTTTACGTTTTATGAAAAGAATGGAGTGATGGACAAGAATTTCTACTTAAAACTCCTGATACCTACGTATATATCATGATAAAATTAACAGCTAATTATAAAGAAGATTTAGCTGAACACAAATAAAAATCTAAAATTTAAGAATGTGTGTTTCTAAAATTTAAGAATGTGTGTTTCTAAGAAACAAGTGTGTGTACATTATTTATTTCCTGAAACTATTCGGCAACAATGCTGCAAAGAAACAAGTGCTACATGCATGTACATGTATTTATTTCCTAATCAGTATATTTATCACAATGGCAACAATGCATTGTCAAGAAATAAATATAATAGTTAAAGGTTTGACTTGAGAATATAGTCTGTATATAGGGCCGATAGAAAATGTAACTTCTTATTAATATGGCCACAGCTTTTCCCCAGGACACTGAATTAAATTGAATTTGCACTACCTGGAGATGCTTGTATGAAAATGGCTATTCATGATCCTGTTGTTCTATAGAAGGAAGAATTTAAAGTTTCTTATGCCTCCCTCTGAAAAATAGGGGCACTCGTCTGTTGACAAAGTTTTCCTCCCACTGCTTGACAGACATCAAACTTTAATTATGTCAGAAGGAGTAGAAGACTCCATTTTATTTCAAGGTCAATGAACAGAAGTGCTTTAGATATAGGAACATGTTGTACACTCAAAAACTTGAGCATCAAACTTGCTACACTTGTCCCCACTGAAAGGTAGATTATCCTTATTGATTTTCAATGTCACTCTAGCTGTCTAAGGATGTGAGAATATCGTATGCTCTTGTCTCATTTTAATGTATCTTGAAAGGAAAAAGAAGGAAAAAACAAGAGACTGGTAGTGTACATTTATTTTTGTTCAAATCGTAATAGGAAGGGATTAAAACTGATCTTTAAACTTGACATGTATAGAAATGATTTAATACACGAGTCTGCAGGCATGTATGCTGATGCAGAACTAGAAACTCCCATGTAATTCAGGTGAGTATTAAACCCATGGTCCTCTTTGGGATTTTTGTTTTTGATTGTATTACATAATTATAGTTGTAAAAATGATTTGTTATAATTGATTTAACCTCACATTCTACACTGAACAATGATTCTTGTATGTTCTGTCTTTGCCATCATAATTGGGACTGCACCAACAAATATTTGTATTAGTAAAAATTTAGTATTAGTAAAAATTTAGTATGTACATTTTATTTTAAAAATTACTTTTTAATACATGCACATACTATATTTACTTCCATCTACTCAATTTTTTGAATTTTTGATCGGGTTCGACATTCAATATTGAACACATATGATGATCACGTGACGAAAATATGGCTGTCAAAATAGATTTGACACAAAGTGAAAACTTTATGCTGTATCTTAAATCAATTTTAAAAGAATGTATATGAACATAAGACAATGGGAACTGTGGTTGATAGAGTCATTGACATTTTCCACCACCATAAAAGATTTTCTTCGATTCAGAAGTTATGTATTTTAGCGATAGTGATAGGAGGTGTGTCTCTTCAAACGGGTCTTTGGACGTGGTTGTTTACTTACATTATAACTTTATCCTCAACAGTTCTGATTTGTCAATATTTGGTAACCACGGATGCCAATTTCACATTTATAGAAGACTTGCTTATACTTCTGAAGTCTCACGAAAACGACTCATGGTTCACCAGCTTGGAGGAATTTGTTAGAGGAGAAAAACCCAGTGAGAAAACACTGCAGGACCAAAGTGACGGCCAAAGAAAAGTTGAAAATTCATCATGGGAGGATGAAATTCATTTATTGGCAACTCTTATATCGCAGGATTTCATTAGACCTTGGTACTTAACAGTGAGTAACAAACATGATCTATTGGAGGAGAAAGAAGAGGTTATCTTCAAAGCTTTCAAACATCTTTGTCTGAAGTTTACTAAATGTGATATCCATGAACTATGTAGAGAGTTATTACTTTGTTACAAAGAACACTTACGAAACTTTCAACAGGCAAAGTCTGTGTACAACACTCAACCAAGAAAAAGGAGTATTTCTAGTCTTAATTCTCCCTCTGCCAAGACAGTTTCATCTGTTGAAGAAGCATATGAAACGAAGTTTACTTATCACAGTGCAGTATGGGGAACAGAGAATGAAATTTCTTATTTAAAATCAATAATTGATTTACTTTTATCAGAGTTTTTGGTAAGACAATTGCAAGATAGCAGAACTCCTCAAGTGTTACTAGTAGAAATCTTAACATATAATGTTGCAAAACCTGCCTTTGATCTCCTGTCTAAGCCTGACTTTTTACATGAATGCATTGTTCGTATTTTATCTGACGAGGCTTTAATAGAAGTACCTCCAGATATCAACACAAGTCGTAGTAGCGATCTTGTGCTTTTTAAAGACGTTAGGGAGGAATCTGAAGAGGAAGATGAATTCAAGGACCCCCAACCTAGTTTTTCATCTAGCACAAGTATGTTTGAAGAATCTAGTCAAAAATCAGAACTCACAAGGCAGCAGGAGACCAGCGGGCTTCTACAGAATCCACAGTCTACAGTGAGTGTAGAGGCACAGGTAGCAAAAGAGGAGGAATCAGATATAAACACAAACCAAAGCATTCCTATCTCCCTACTGGGACCAGCTTTTTGTCGCGATACAGGTACTTGTCATTTACAGCAAAACTCAGTTATAACGAAGTCACTGGGACCTATGAAATCATTTCGCTATATTTGTAATTCATTATAACCGTCTAAGAAATTCATTAAATTTATATAGCTGGGACACAGTCACTTGTTTCGGGAATAAATTTTAACCCATAGTATAATAATAACACGTGTTATTATTATACTATGAGTCAAAAATTTACTACAGAAACAAGTGCCTGTGAGCTGGAAACCCAAGATGACTTCGCTTTATCCATAAATTTGCAATATCAGTGTTCATACTAAACGAGTTTTGCTGTATCCATTTCAATTATAACCTGGAAGATATTACATGTAAGACTGTTAAAAAATGTTTAAAAATCACAGAAATTAAACGCCTTGCATGTACATTCAAGTGTGGAGTTCATTTTATGATTGGTCACCCAAGTTAAAATTGTAAGCCATTTTACAATGAGGAACAAAAACATATGTCACTGCTTTTGCATATAACCAGTATGATTTCAAATGTTTCATGTGAACTTCATATTATAGCTGAAATTTCAGGTTAAAGGTTTTCAAGCACTCCTCTATTTAAAAAAAGGCAATGCTAATGATGTCCATTGAATGAAATTTCAATCTTTCAAACTTTTACAGAGGTCAGTCAAGAAAGCTCTGAAAATGACGAAGGCAGGGAAGCTTCTCAGGAGGGAAAAAAGTTTTATCTGGGGAGTTTTGATGACATTTCTACGTCAGGTGAAGATTCAACAAGGATATTTTTAAACCTACGAATAGTGGATACAGAAACAGCCTCAGAAAACAGGGGAGCTAATCAGTATACACTGTACACAATCCAGGTATGTGTGTGAAAACTTCAATTTACTCTTAAGTGTTTGCATAAAAATGCTGCATAGAAGACCTATGAACTTACTTTCTTTGTCAGTAATCAGTTAAATTTTTTAAAAATTCAGTATGATGCAATATATCTCGAAGGCGGACACACTGAAGTGCGAACAAACAGGGTCAAAAGAAGGTTTCGAGAATTTATCAACCTCCAGAACAGATTGGAAGATAATTCTACATATAAAAGAAATCTGAAAGGTATGTTCATCTGGTAAAGGAGGCATACATGTTCTTTTGTTTTTTCCCAAACCACAAAAGAAAGAGGGCGTACAAGGTGTGGATAATCCCCCGCTCTGAGACGATATGTTTCTCAATTTTCAAAATTCATGGAAAAGTTATATTTTTCTAAAATCATGTTCTCAGTAATGACTCTTCTTCAAAACATTTTATTATTTTGTTTTACTGAACGACTTATCATTTGACAATCTTTTTTTTCAAAAGTTGACAGTTAAGCATGTACATGTATAGTGGAAAATGGGTTTACTAGTGCCATAAAAAATTACTTATGAACATGAATGGGACAAGTCTCCATTTTTCGTTAATGCTTAAATGATAGAAATGTAAATATGAAATCTATTTCATTTGTCCAAAAAATGGAATCTGAACCCATTCTATTTGAAAATGGAACTTTTCTGGAAAAAATGTACGCTCCAACAAACCCGATCTTTTGAATCACACTGACAGACATCGATAACACATATATACTTCGTAGCGTAGTGGTCAACATGGTTGGTCTTGCGCCGAATCCTGCACTATGGAGAGAGTTCGAATCATACATGAAGCTTTTTCTTTTCACGTATCTTAAAAACATGAGTAAAAAAATAAATTATTGATAAAATATTAAAACAATGAAATACAGGATTAAATGTGTAAAAGATGATTTGAACTACCGTATATAATTTTGAAAAATATAGCTTTCAAATGTCTTTTTCTCAGAGCGGGCAATTGACATCGCCTTGTCCTATTGAAAATGTACGTCTTGTGAAGTCACAGTCCAGTAGGGCATCTTTTCAAATGAATTAATGCATGATTTATTTGAAACATTTTATCTAGATGTGAAAGGGTTAACAAAGTGGCTTTCATTGCCGTTTGGTAATATGGATAAAAACAACATTGAAAAACGCAAGAAAACGTTGGAAAATTTCATAAAGGTAAGGAACAGAATTATGCATCTTGATGCTTGATGTGTTTATTATTGCTATATGGAAATACTCTTCGCAGTTTTGCAATAAAAGTTGATCTTGATTTTATTATTAGCTCAATTTTGTACATTGTATGCATGCATGTATAATCTAAATTATATAGACATGTTGTATATAACTTTCAATATTTCATAATGAGAATTAGTTCAGGAAATAATTGTCCAGATACATTTTTGTTTTTATTTGATTAAATTTGGCTAAATTCTGAGGATGTGGCATTGAAGATTATTTTTATCCACAGTGATACTATGTAAACTTTTCATAGAATTCTATTAAATCTCTTATAAAGTTGAACTTCGGTATCTCAGACACTGATATCTCGAATACCATGGATATGTGGAAGTAATGTGTAAGTCCCCACAAATTATTCTTTAATTATTTCACCCTTGATATCTCAAATCCTAGGATATCTCGAAGTTTTTTCTTGGTCCCATAGAGTTCAAGATACTGCTAAGATGCTTAATGTCAACAAATATGCTTTGTAGGCTCTACTGGAGAAAGATCTTATCTGTAACAGCCCAGAAATGAAAGAATTTTTAGCATATGATGGTAACGCCCACATAGCATTTGTCAGGAAAGCACCAGATAGTGTTCAGCCATTGACAATGGTATATATGTTCCTGACATTTAAGAGGTCAAAGCATATGTAAATAAAATATCAAATTAACCAGATTTTCATTATAAATTACAGATGTTATTGCTAGAGGAATTTCATGAACTTATCCCTTCTGATTTACTTTACTTTAAACATATTTTATTGAGTATAATTCAATCAGGATTGGGCAACAGGCAATGCCTATGTAAACTCCTCTCTGATTTCAGATGGTGAGGACATTTTCTAGTGTTTTTGACAAGATTGGGGATAAGGTGGGAGAAATCTCCACCAACGTGACTGACTTACTGCCAGGTTTACCGCGGAGGAGCCAAGTCAGAGATCCTCAGAGCCTCGAGGAGGATGAGGATCAAATCCTGCTGGAGTTTGGAACCATTAAAGGGGATGTAAGTACTCACTCTGATACTGAGTTGGGAACCAATAAAGGGGATGTAAGTACTCACTCTGATACTGAGTTGGGAACCATTAAAGGGGATGTAAGTACTCACTCTGATACTGAGTTGGGAACCATTAAAGGGGATGTAAGTATTCTCTCTGATGAACCATTAAAGGGGATGTAAGTACTCACTCTGATACTGAGTTTGGAACCATTTAAGGGGAAGTAAGTACTCACTCTGATACTGAGTTGGGAACCATGAAAGGGGATGTAAGTACTCAGTCTGATACTGAGTTGGAAACCATTAAAGGGGATGTAAGTGCTCACTCTGATACTGAGTTGGGAACCATTAAAGGGGATGTAAGTGCTCACTCTGATACTGAGTTGGGAACCATTAAAGGGGAAGTAAGTACTAAATCTGATACTGAGTTGGGAACCATTAAAGGGGATGTAAGTACTCAGTCTGATACTGAGTTGGGAAGCATTAAAGGGGATGTAAGTGCTCACTCTGATACTGAGTTGGGAACCATTAAAGGGGAAGTAAGTACTAAATCTGATACTGAGTTGGGAACCATTAAAGGGGAAGTAAGTACTAAATCTGATACTGAGTTGGGAACCATTAAAGGGGATGTAAGTGCTCACTCTGATACTGAGTTGGGAACCATTAAAGGGGAAGTAAGTACTAAATCTGATACTGAGTTGGGAACCATTAAAGGGGATGTAAGTACTCAGTCTGATACTGAGTTGGGAACCATTAAAGGGGATGTAAGTACTCAGTCTGATACTGAGTTGGGAACCATTAAAGGGGATGTAAGTACTAAATCTGATACTGAGTTGGGAACCATTAAAGGGGATGTAAGTACTCAGTCTGATACTGAGTTGGGAACCATTAAAGGGGATGTGAGTACTGTATAGGGGGAAAATAACTCGCGGTGTTAATATTCGCTATATTCACGGTGTTAATAAGTCCGTGAATTCAAGAAACCGTGAATAAAATTTCAATAATCTACATGTTTTATTTGGAAAATTGAAAATAGACTAGTCTACGATAGGTTGACTACGACAGGTTGATATACATGTACATGCAGTACATGGTCGTTTCAGTAATTACGAGTAGTATTCGTCATTCAATTATTTAAATTATCACGCTTTACTTTAATTCAAATCGGCAGATAATAACTCGTGTTTGTTCAAAAGCTGTTTTAATAGCCAACGCTACATGTTTCATCAATCAACACACGTGGACCATGCGTTTTAATTACCCGTGCGTAACTAATTCTACCACGTGTATTTGTTACCTGCATTATCATGCATTTCAGTTTTTATCAACATTTTGGTTTTAAAAATCATTCAAATAAATATCGAACTTATTGAAGATGTGGAAGATATTATTTCGGCAAACTTAATAAACACAATTACTTCCGTCCAGTGGTTTTTCGCCGCATTGTATTGAAGATCTTGGGTGCACATGCACTCATCGTAATAGCATATAGGAAATTCATTTGACGTTTAGCGTGTAGGACTTTTAATAATTGCGCTTGCTTTAATTAATTATTAATTAAATCTATCAATTTTATATAAACCGACCCTGTTGTTCGTGAAATAAAAACAACGCTGAAGAATGTCGTTTACATGTAGCTATTCCGCGAATTCAAGAAACCGCGATCGTTTCAGATGAGAGAAAAACGTTAAAATTACAACTCGTGAAATTAATCCCCTATACAGTACTCACTCTGATACTGAGTTGGAAACCATTAAAGGGGATGTAAGTACTCAGTCTGATACTGAGTTGGGAACCATTAAAGGGGATGTAAGTACTCACTCTGATACTGAGTTGGGAACCATTAAGGGGGATGTAAGTACTCACTCTGATACTGAGTTGGAAACCATTAAAGGGGATGTAAGTACTCAGTCTGATACTGAGTTGGGAACCATTAAAGGGGATGTAAGTGCTCACTCTGATCAACCATTAAAGGGGATGTAAGTACTAAATCTGATACTGAGTTGGGAACTATTAAAGGGGATGTAAGTACTCACTCTGATACTGAGTTGGGAACCATTAAAAGGAATGTAAGTAATCAGAGTTGGGAACATTAAAGGGGAAGTAAGTACTCACTTTGATACTGAGTTGGGAACCATTAAAGGGGAAGTAAGTACTCACTCTGATACTGAGTTGGGAACCATTAAAGGGGATGTAAGTACTCACTCTGATAATGAGTTGGGAACCATTAAAAGGGGATGTAAGTGCTCACTCTGATGAACCATTAAAGGGGATGTAATTACTCACTCTGAAGAACCATTAAAGGGGAAGTAAGTACTAAATCTGATACTGAGTTGGGAACCATTAAAGGGGATGTAAGTACTCAGTCTGATACTGAGTTGGGAACCATTAAAGGGGATGTAAGTATTCACTTTGATACTGAGTTGGGAACCATTAAAGGGGATGTAAGTGCTCACTCTGATGAACCATTAAAATGGATGTAAGTACTTAATCTGATACTGGGTTGGGAACTATTAAAGGGGATGTAAGTACTCACTCTGATACTGAGTTGGGAACCATTAAAAGGGGATGTAAGTACTCACTCTGATACTGAGTTGGGAACCATTAAAGGGGATGTAAGTACTCACTCTGATACTGAGTTGGGAACCATTAAGGGGGATGTAAGTACTCACTCTGATGAACCATTAAAGGGGATGTAAGTGCTCACTCTTATAAACCATTAAAGGGGATGTAATTACTCACTCTGATGAACCATTAAAGGGGATGTAAGTACTCACTCTGATACTGAGTTGGGAACCATTAAAAGGGGATGTAAGTACTCACTCTGATACTGAGTTGGGAACCATTAAAGGGGATGTAAGTACTCACTCTGATACTGAGTTGGGAACCATTAAAGGGGATGTAAGTACTCACTCTGATGAACCATTAAAGGGGATGTAAGTGCTCACTCTTATAAACCATTAAAGGGGATGTAATTACTCACTCTGATGAACCATTAAAGGGGATGTAAGTACTCACTCTGATACTGTGTTGGGAACCATTAAAGGGGATGTAAGTACTCACTCTGATGAACCATTAAAGGGGATGTAAGTGCTCACTCTGATCAACCATTAAAGGGGATGTAAGTACTCAATCTGATACTAAGAACCATTAAAGGGGATGTAAGTATTCACTTTGATACTGAGTTGGGAACCATTAAAGGGGATGTAAGTGCTCACTCTGATGAACCATTAAAGGGGATGTAAGTACTAAATCTGATACTGGGTTGGGAACTATTAAAGGGGATGTAAGTACTCACTCTGATACTGAGTTGGGAACCATTAAAAGGGGATGTAAGTACTCACTCTGATACTGAGTTGGGAACCATTAAAGGGGATGTAAGTACTCACTCTGATACTGAGTTGGGAACCATTAAAGGGGATGTAAGTACTCACTCTGATGAACCATTAAAGGGGATGTAAGTGCTCACTCTTATAAACCATTAAAGGGGATGTAATTACTCACTCTGATGAACCATTAAAGGGGATGTAAGTACTCACTCTGATACTGAGTTGGGAACCATTAAAAGGGGATGTAAGTACTCACTCTGATACTGAGTTGGGAACCATTAAAGGGGATGTAAGTACTCACTCTGATACTGAGTTGGGAACCATTAAAGGGGATGTAAGTACTCACTCTGATGAACCATTAAAGGGGATGTAAGTGCTCACTCTTATAAACCATTAAAGGGGATGTAATTACTCACTCTGATGAACCATTAAAGGGGATGTAAGTACTCACTCTGATACTGAGTTGGGAACCATTAAAGGGGATGTAAGTACTCACTCTGATGAACCATTAAAGGGGATGTAAGTGCTCACTCTGATCAACCATTAAAGGGGATGTAAGTACTCAATCTGATACTAAGAACCATTAAAGGGGAAGTAAGTGCTCACTCTGATACTGAGAGAGATGTATACTCGCTTAATTGATTATATTGCTAAATAAAACTTCCAGAACTTTTCGTTCATACTGAAAAGGTAAATTGGTAAATCATGCCTTGCTGAAGTTTTATCTTTAAACTGCAGTAGGGGTATTAAATTGAATTTTTTTATTTCAATTTTTAAATATAATTTTTAACATCTTAAGTTACTGAAAAATAATAGGTGTATATTGGAAAAAATACATACATGTATACTATTCTATCTGTTATCTATTCATTTGATTGTATTACTTTTCTAGTTTGTTAAGATACAAACTAGATCATAATGAATGCATACATGTACATGGAGGCACAGAGTAAATTTTGTTTTGTTTATTTCAGGTGCTTGTGTTGGAGAACCAGTTATCTAGTCATGTAAGTACAGTTTGTGGGGGTGAGGCAGAAAGTTCAGATTCTGATGAGAAAGGCAAAAGTGAGCCCCAGAAATCAGAAGGTATATTATATATGTCCTTTTTTCGATATAGATCTATTATTTTTTCAGTAATTTAAGATTATCAAGTTAACATGGAAGGCTCCTTCATAATAAATAGGTCCATTGATATTCTTGTATGTAAGTCTGTCAGTGTTATTTAGGTGAGATAAATGAGGTCCATGATGCAGGGTTGGCAGAAGTTGTGTTTGACATAGTAGTACAAGCTTTACAGGGCCGAAACAGCTGGGTGTGTCGAGAAAGAGTCATCTCTCTTGCCAAGCACATGCTCGGAACAGCAGTTAGCAGGTAAACCCTTCTTTATCTCAGAAAAAAAATTTTGAGGATCAAATTATAAAAGCAATATATCACCATATCATTTATTTTAAAAAATACAATAATAGTAGAAGTGTTACAAGGTCAATATCATTAATGGAGAGTATGCAAAGTAATTTTCTTATGCTTTGAAATTTTGCAGGTGGCTCAAATGGCAGATAAGTGACCTTACAACTCCTCAGAGATGTGCATTTTATCTACATCTGTTTAGGGAATCGATTTGGCCAAATGGAAAGTATGATTCATCCAACCGTGAAGTCAAATCAGAAAGGCAGAGATCTGCAACCAAAGAGCAAGCCCGGAGAGTTTTGGCAGAATTTTTTCCAGGTATGACAAATTCTCTATCTAGACTGCAGAAGACAAACTCCTGAAACTCTGCTTAGGAAAAAAAATGAAGTGAATTGAATATTCAGTAAATTATATTGAATATTTTTTGTAAATATATTCTGAAAATTAAAATTTACACTGGATTCTGTAGCTGTAGCCTGTTCACACTATAAAGTAGAAGTGTAGCTAGAAGTCAACTTTTTCATAATGTGGTCAGTATATGTTGAGAATTTCCATTTCAATTTGTAGATGTTCTGGTTCAGCTCCTTGAGAAGGAAGACTATGACTGTGGGATAGAGGAAATCATGGATTCCATTCAGTACGAAAAACTTAACAAGTAAGACAATCTAGTATATTTTGTACCTTACTCGGTCTCCATGTATTTGAATTACTGGGTATTTAAGGAAGAACAGAGCAGTTAAAAATTATCTATGATCTTGACATGTTTCAGGAATTTCATTTACACTTTCCTGGATCTTGTTTTGGAGAAGTTGTTTAACGATATTCAACAGAAGAATGTACAGAAAGAGTCTTAGTGAGTGGAACAAACCCCTAGTGCAGGGAAACTATGCGAACAATCCCAATAAATGAAGGAGACTCTGGAAATAAACCCATTGTGGGAAAGCTATGGGAACGATCCATTGGAACAGACACAAAGCATAATAATGCTAGTACCATCACTCACATTTTAATATTGCCTATCCTGATCGTTATTTTTGTGACTGTATAATGTTGTTGTAACAGTAAGCTCCCTTGTTTTTTAATCTGAGATAACAATGTACTTAATCACCTGTCTGTGTTCTAAAACCGGTTTAAGTACTATTATTCGTTAGAAACATTCCTGTTTATAAAATGTGGTCCAAGCATATGTAAATCATATTTGGTATGGTTGTACTTTATAAAATATATTATTTTTAATACTAATCTGTATTTGATTGTTTTGTATATGTGAAAAATGACAAATGCAGTCAGTATGCAAAGCCAAGTTATATTCAAATGAGACCAACTCTGTAGAAGTAGTATTTTGAAATTCTCATGGGAATTTGTATTTTAACTAGTGTTGGCAAATCGGACGATTTTTAGTAACCGGTTACTCGCTTCATCTTCCGATCGAGTACCCAGTTACTCGGATGATTTTTGATAAAAGTATCAATATCTATTATTTATCTTATTCTATACTTATCGGTAGTAGTAATGCACAAATATACTGAATAGGGACATTATATTTACAATACACACATACGATATCGTCAAAGATTTACGATTTTAAAATAAAGAAAATTAATATTGAACTCGACACACAAAGACAAATAAATACGTCATCGTCATCGAAATATGTCGCAATCAAGGAGAATATTATTTACATACTCTATAATTAATAGTTAATATGTGGAGTGTCCAGTTAATCGTTGGTTTCCGAATAATTTAAGCTTAGGTGATTTAACAGATTTTGAATCAGCTGTTCTTTTGTTACAACTCCAAGCTTATTATGTCTGCGGCGGCATCTCGTTGAATTATCAAATGAGGTAATTGTAACTCAGGCCTTCAAAATATGTATACCCCAAGCAATCAAAGCTATCAATTATATAAACTGTGAAAACTAAACAAAACAATTTGATTCACTACAACCATGCACTAGATCAAGTCTAACAGGTTTGTTCCCGTTTTGCACACATTTGAATTACAGGTAATTAAAATATCTGTGAAAAACAGGAATTTGACCAGGTGAGATTGCTATAGTCTATACCATACTAAGCTTAGTAAGTATGTGAAAGGTGAACTTGTAGTGAAAAAATAAGAGAATAAATACAAAGTTAATGTATTTGATTATCTGGTGATCTTATTATAACATCTTCCTCATGTTCTTGGCTTGTGCATTATTTTCAAATTAATTTTTATTCACTATTTTCTTTATTACATGTTATATCTTTAATTCATTAGAATTTTATCAAGATTGAAAAGTACGTATTCTTTCTTTAAGACATTGGACTTAATAATAAATAATATTAAACAAATATTAAGTATTTATTCAATCAAATATTTTTCAAAAAATATATATAGAATTTTAATAAAATGCTCATTAAAATTGTATTAAACCTCTTAAGAATACATTAATCTAAATCAGGTATTCACAGGTAAATCCAGGTAAATCCAAACCAGAAATCAGACTATAATTGCTATCAAAACACACTTCACACCTGTTGTTCTATACTAATTACCAAATGTGTGCAAAACGGGAACACACCGTCTAACGGTACCTATTATAAAATTAATGTGTAAGTTAGTATACATTTATAAATTATAAAACATTCATTTTCTATGCCTTTACTATGTAGAATTTATTTTATCCGAGTAACCGAATAGCAGTTTTACTAACCGATACTCGCAACGTTCGACGGTTAACCGGTTAACCGGGTACTCGTTGCCAACACTAATTTTAACCTATTTTTAGTAACCATGACAACATCATTCATGAAGTCAAAAATACACAGTTCTAGTTATTATCTTGTTCGAGTTTACGTTTGTGCTGAGTTATATTGAAAGAGACCAAAAATGTAGGAGTAGTAGCATTTTGAAAGTATTTTACAAAATTCTATTTTTAGTTACCATGGCTTATTCTATGAAAGCCCATTGAGCTCATTTTTGAAGGATAAAAAATAAAATTTTCATGCTGTAACGCGACACTTTTGTGATTAAATGCGTAACTTTTGCTTTACAACTCGAAATTTTCGTGAATAAACGCGCAACTTTCGCAAGATAACTCGAAACCTTTGTTGAATAACCGAGACTTTTGCATAAGTTCCAATTTTCATACAATTTTATGATCTAATATACTTACAATTACAAATTCCCCCTTCTAAATCTTTTTTCTGTCACATTTTATGTTTCTCAATGCTGTTCACAAACAATTCAAAGTCTATTGACTTTTCCAAAAGTGAAAAAGATCATCCTTTGTCATGCCATATTTTTTTTTTACACTTTCTGTAGAATAAGACAATAGACAATATTTTATTTCCAATTAAGGGCCCCCAGAGAGGCATGAAAGGTACATAAGAAATCATTGGCGTCGGAAGCAAATTGAAGGGGGGGGGGCGAAGTGTAAGAATTTTTTTTTAGACCTTCAAAAATACCTGACAAGCCAAAAAAGGGAGGAATATGTCCATTGCCCAAACACGAAAATCCTTGCCCAAGCCCCCCCCCCCCTTGCCCTCCCCGGTTCCGACGCCTATGGAAATAAAATTGAAAACTCAGAAAATTCATTGAAATTGACAAAGTGAAGTAAAGTTGACAATGTTGTGTCCCATAGACTTAATGTAAAATTTGGTTGACAAATGTTCATTTGTCTCCAAAAGACTCACTGTAGAAATACAACATCGTACTTTGAGGTTGCACCATGTGGTCATACCATTGCTTATACGAAACATTGACGCACAAAATCTCAAAAAATCAGTCGTAAGAAGTGAAACAAGAAAATCTTTAAAGGAAAATTTATTTGATTAATTATTAAGGGATTTAAAATAAAATGCAAAAATCTGAAGACTTATCTATCCTATTCTCGCGTCATTTCTTCTGAGAAAGTTATTCATAAATTCATTGAAGTTCGAATTCCCGTCTGCCTTCATGTTTCGTATCTGTCGTTCAAGATCAAAGGTCTCTAAGTAACATTACTTTATATAACTTCGCAATATAACGCGAAAGTTTTGCGTTTATTCACGAAAGTTACGCGTTTTAACGCGAAAGTTACACGTTTATTCGCGAAAGTTTCGCGTTATATCGCGAATTTTTTTTTTTTTAACTCACGAAAATGAGCTGAATGCATGGGCTTTTGTAGTGTTGAATATACCCTAGGCCGTGGAAAATTGAGTCGGGTCGTGGAATTTTGATCATGAAACCGGTTCTAAATTCAACAGTATATAAACGCATACAAAATGTATTAAATTGATATTCACATCTGATTTATTCAATTAACACATAATTCAGTTTGATTCTATAGAATAACGTTTATATTAATATCAGTTACTTCCATTCATAAGCTGACTCGATATAGCTAGTATTAGTATCCCAATGAACTTGAAATAAAAGACTACACAGAGCTTGCCACCAATGTATCACAGGGACGTAGCAACCGAGGGGCTCAGGGGGGGCCTGCCCCCCCCCCCCCACTTTTTTTGCCAACAATACTTTTACTATTGAAAATGTTCATTGAAAGGCTACTTGGCCCCCCCCTCACTTTATATTAAAGTAAAGTAATATGAAGGAAATATAGTATTGTAAGCTTAAAAAATGGCTATTGAAAGGAACTGGTAGTGAGAAAAGTTTGTCCCCCCCCCCCGAAGGGGTTTTGGACTTTGAGCGATTTTTTTTCTCTTTTTCTTTTGTTTTTTTGCTTGACAACTTTTACAGGTAAGTAAAAAAAATTTCTGTGGCTGGCCCCCCACTTTCAAAATCGATGCTACGTGCCTGTATCATACATGTATTTGGAATTTTTACTGACTATATACTATAATTAAGGGCTCCTCTGCACTAACAACTAAATTGTGTGTAAAACGAGACTATTTCATCCTCTTCGTTTCCTTCGTCTATTGTTCTAAGTTATGTCCCGCGGTAGCTGCAGATCTGTAGCGTTATGGTTTTATATATTTGTCTTTGACCATAACGCTACAGATCCTGTAATGCAAAAAAGGTGCAATTTACGGCGCAATATTTTTTGTGCGCTTTTGGGGAGAATTTCTCCACTTTCAAGCATTGGTCAATCAATTACCTTTCACTCCCTAATTCTAGACACATTCTGTAGCCAATAAGTATATTTTATACACCTCCCACAGGCACGTAGCATCGTTTTTGAAAGTGGGGGGGCCAACCTTCGTTGACAAGCAAAAAAAAAAAAAGAAAAAAAAAAGGAAAAATTAAAATTTGCCCAAACTCCAAAATCCTATTTCGTGGGGGGGGGAGGGGGGGGGGAGGGTAGTGGCCAATTTTTTCAAGACCGATATCTTTATACAAACTTTTTGGGGTAAATTTCCCAATCCTGTGCTCAAATGTGGGGGGGCCACTCGTAAAAATTTTCTATAGTAAAGGTAATGTCTACAAGTGATAAACTCGCTTGATTAAAATTATTTGTTAGATTGCTGAAAATTCACTTCTAGCGACTTTATTGCCTGTAGAGACAACTACAAATGGTTGAAAGGTGGATAAAATATAAATATTGGCTACAGAATGTGTCTAGAATTAGGGAGTGAAAGGTAGTTGATTGACCAATGCTTGAAAGTAGAGAAATTCTCCCCAAAAGCGCGCAAAAAATATTGCGCCGTAAATTGCACCTTTTTTGCATTACAGGATCCGTAGCGTTATGGTCAAAGACAAATATATAAATCCATAACGCTACAGATCTGTTATGGTCAAAGACAAATGTATAAAACCATAACGCTACAGATCTGCAGCTAGTCCCGTGGCTATCGCCTGTACATGTATATGATGTTTACATTTCCCAGTTTATTTGAGGGCATGCTCCATGTACGACCAATTTTAAGCCGAGGTAGGTTACTTGCAGCAACCTTGTTTAAGGTCAGCATCATAAATTCTATGGTTGCAATGTTAAAACACAATTTGATCAAAGAAATGGGGGTATATAGTTTTTGTTCTGTCCGTCCGTCTGTCTGTGTGTCCGCAAAAACTTAAACCATACCCATAACTTTTGAGTGGATTATGGCTTTCATATTTCACAGGTGCATTCCTTGTGACAAGACTTTCCTTAGGGTAACACCAGATTTGACCTCCTAACCTTGGAGTTTGAACCAATTTTGTTAGGTCACCTGAGTAAACTCAGGTGACCTATTGCTATCCGTTTTTGTCCGTCGTCGTTCGTCGTGCGTTAACATTTAAACATTTTCAGCTTCTTCTCTGAAACCACTGAACCAATTTCA